GCAGACACAATGCATAGTTTAGACACATGAGTCAACTTCACACCAGTACTATTTAAGACAAAGGTTGCGAATTCATATGATACGTCGATAGAAAAATCTGCCTTTGGTTCCTTGCCCTTAGATATTTGTTTAGACAAACTAAAATATTAAATTATATTCTTAACTTTTGGATAAAAAATATAAAAATATATTATGGAAACAGAGTGTAATCATATTTTTGTAAAATTATACTCCAATAGAGCCAGTTTTATAAAATGAAGGAAATATTTAGAAAAGAGTAGCTTTTATTTATTGATCTACAGCTTATTTTATGTCTTCAGTTAATTACTCCTCAGAAGCTATTTATGTTATGACTCTTATAATAACTGTTTAACATAAAAACGGAATATACCTCTTTAAATAATGTATATAATAATTGTTTAATATAAAAATAGAATATACCTCTTTAATAGCGTAACACTTATGGCAAATCCAGACGCAACGTGTGGATACTTAAATTTTTTAGTGTGCTGCGCAAAGTGATGAATAATAGTAGGTTCACGGTCATAAAGCGCGTATCCCATCCACACATCCTGCATACAAACAAATTATCTAGAATATAAATCTAGAATAGAAATATATTCTTAAAACAAGAGCGCAATTCACCTGAGAAGAGTTAAATTTTCCAAGAACATCCAATAGCTTTTCTAATCGAATCACAGTATTTTCTAAACAAAAGAAGAACCATTCCACATCTGGAAATTCACCTGACAAATAAGTTAATAGTGGAACTATTGTCCAGGAACCTTTGATATTAATTTTATGAGATAGTACGACATGCGGCAATTCCTATAAAAGTATAAAGATAACTTATATATATATTTAACAATAAGTACAACATAGACATAGTTATCACATCCACTAGTAAAAATTTAATGAAAACTACATATAAAGAAAAAATTCTCTTGTGATCAAACATACTCTTTCAAGAGCATCAGCTTGTTCATAGATGTTTTCTCTCAAATAATCAGCATGGGCCGCATTGTAGCCTTCCTTTTGACTCAGTATTACTATCGTTACCTTGTCGGGCTCTGAAAGTATTCTGATTAAGATTTTTTTCAGCTATATATTTAGCTTAAATAAAAAAGAAAGCAAATATCATTTTTATATTATTTTTATAACATCTAATATTCTCTTTATAATATTAGATAGTAGAAAATAGGTCTGTTTTTTTGTGGTTTATAGTATACTTATACTCCATACAACACAATTCTCCAAGAGTCCTAAGATTGTCCAGAGGATATCCTTAGAACATCCTGAAACATCCTTGGGAGAATAGCATTGTGTGGGGCTCGTACTTAAAATAAAAATATATTTGAAATTAATTAATTAAAAAATAAAGATATATTTGAAATTTTAGTACAGTTCAATAAAGTAACAAAGAACAGGCCTAATCTCTCAGGTAAATGAAGAAGTTTCTGGAGTAAATACCTAATGTACTTGCATCTATACCCGCGATGAACGAAACGCAAGTGAGAAGTGCGAGATACGTTAATAGTTCCATTTTTATCGAACGGCGTTCGAAGTCCAATAAAAAACAAAAAGTTTAAATGCGTTTTTGTCAGCCTCTTTTCTATTGCTTTGCAGGGATAGAGATCTTCAAGTGAAGGGCAAAGCTTTGACGTTTTTCAATTTGAATTAACGACCACACGCCTATTCAATTGTTACTCAACAATTCGTTCCATCCATTGTCAGTCGTATCTGATCCCTATTCAGCTGTTCGCTGTTTAACTGTGCGCTGTGCGTAAAAAGAACCGGCTTCGCCGACATCGACCTCGATTGTTGCACAAATGAGACCCACGTGAAGAAAAAACAGATCGCGTCGTCGCCCCGGGATTCGTCGAACTCGCGGATGGGCGCCAATCAGATTCGCCCGCTAAACACATGTTTTCTCAATCTTGCGTTTCTTGCAGTTTCTTGGCGCAAATTGAAAAAGGATGAATAAAGGTCGGAAGAATAATTTTTTCGAACTCTTTCGATATCTGTGAGTTAAAGTTTAACGTTGAACTAGCAATTGTGGCAAGGGTTTGCACACCGCGGTGGTTGAAATGTTACGCCTAAGCGCGGAGTAAACGGACACAGTTTGTAAACAAGCTAAGAAAGCTTTGGGTTAGGCTAGGTGATCGATAGAGAACGCGTAGACGTTTGTATACGCGACGATATGCGACGTACATATGGCTTATCAGTCGTCATGAGTGACTCTTACCAGTCGAGGGTGTACGAGAAGGAATTGAGGTAATTAAGGTCAGTACAGCTTTGATACTTCATTTCTTTTTATATTTCTTTTATATACCTTACATGCTGCATAAAAACACTTGTATCTCTACTTGTAAAACGTTGCAGATGCATATGTGGTACTGGTTTGGCGTGGATCTGAACAGCTTTTTGTTTCCGGGATACGATGTTAATACGACATGGGGTTTAGTAGCAACATGTTTTGGCTTGGCTGCCCTTGCCGTATTGTACGAAGCCATGAAGGTTTCCCAGATCCACCTGCAACAGACTGTGATTAGACCCATATCTCGAACGACCTCAGCCTCCTCGGAGAACTCGTCCCTCCTATCCAGAGTGACGCCAAAGAACTTTAGATCATACACAAGATGGTACATTGTCATTTTCTTATCTGCTCGGAGCAATAAGACAAATGTATATTATCCAAGCATTCTGACGATCACTTTAATCAATTAACTTAATTGGTATTTAACACATCAAATGATGTTTGTACAATTTTATTAATATGAATAAAATTACAATTTTTTTTGTTATTTAGTGAAAAAAGTCATGTAAAAAAAGATTAGGGACAAATTTATAATTACAGATGTTGCTTTAACCTGATTGAATTAACTATTGATTAATCAGAGTTTGATCAGAATTGCTTTGAATAGCTGTACTTTATGTATTTTTTCTTTTTTGCCTTTTTTCTTTAATATATCTATACATGGTGTCTCGAATTTAAAATGATCAAACTTCGAGAGTGTGTAAGGGATCAATAAACTAAAAAGAAAGATCCTTTAGAGATATGCTCGTTTTTGCTTCGTTTTGGAGAAAATTGCAAAAAAAGGACAAAACGTAGTTTTCGTTTTTGTATTATTTATTACTTATTTATTCACATTTATTTATTCATGTCACTCGCTTAATGCAGATATTGTTCAAAATGTTGGCCTCTTGCAGCAATGCATCTTGTATGTACAGATAGCTCGTGTTGCAAACACTGATATGGTCAATGTAATGACACGCTGATCCAGCACTCTTTTGTCTGGAAATCGGCGCGCATCCTTTTGCATCTGAAGCATTATCGCAGAAAACAACGAAAACAATAATATTCTGCTTTGAAAACAATATCCAAAATTGGGCAAAACTAATTCTAATTCTTAATTCAATTAGTAATTATATTTCGTAATTATTAATTACTAATTGAATTAAGAATTACATTGTAAATTGTAATTGTTAACTGAATTAAGTTTTGCCCAACTCTGACAATATCTAATATTTCGAAAATTATTTCGTCTTTCTTTATTATTTTTTCCTAAACAAATTTTGTCAAAAATGAACACATCTAAAAAGAACTTTTTTTTCTTAGTTAATCGATTTCCTGCACGCTCCCAAGAAGTTTGGCCATTTTAATTCGGGACACTCACTATATTTATTCTTTTCTTCAATATATCAATATATCTACTCAACTATTTCATTTTGAAAGTATAATCTAATGTAGCAAATAAAACTTGATTTCATTATTGCTTTAGAACACATTATATCTTCTACAAGCAAAAGATAATACATCTATAATACAACATTTTTTATTACAAAATTAATCATAATAAATGATTTATTAAGACCGTATATGTGAACACACAATATGTAAGAATATTAAAGCCTATAACGGTTGAAGCTGGATCTTTAATGCTTAAATAATTCAATATGAATTGCACGGACGGACGCGCGAACGCACAACTTTATTATTGTCCACAGCAGTTATTGTCCTAAATTTGTTTTCCTTAATAACTAAGCATTTTTATTTTAAGCCGTGTTAAATATGTTTTCTTAGTGGAAGCTGCTCAAGATGGATACTGCAAATGTTGCATTGGTCTCTTCACACTATGCTCGGTTATATCCTAATGTTGGCTGTTATGACATACAACGCATATATCACCATCGCCCTCGTAATCGGAGCGTGCATTGGATACGGCATATTCGGTCCTACACTTATACAATTAAACATGCAATATTTTCATCGTAAACAAGCAGTTATGGAATGTGATAAAAATTGCGAAGGTAATGCAACTTCATGTTAACGTAAGACTGCAAGAAAGTGATTATTTTACCTTATTTTTATAATCGCTCTTAGATATTGTCGCGAATCTACAGAGACGCGAATCTGCTGTCTCTATCGTTGCAGAACAATTAGTTACAGAAGCAAATATCGAAATTCACGTACAGAGAAGTACGTGAGTGTTGACATCGAACATTGCAATGATATTATCTAGAAAAGTCTAATATTATTTAGGATATTGTGATTATTGTCATATATGTATACATAGCATATTTTTATACAGATGTTTTATTACAAATCAAAGTAAAAAATATATGATATGAACAAATTTAATATAATACTATTTACAACTAAATTAACATCCTTGTTAGATTTCTGTACACCAGAACATGTTTGTTACATAAGTTATACACATTTATTACAGATATACAAGTATATGTTATTAATATTAGTTATTAACATTTTTTATAATTAAAAAATTAATATTTTCTTATAAAAAATGTTTTAAATGATGTACATAATTATGAAAATACTTGCTAATACAAAATATGAAAAAATAATTACGTTTATCAAAAATTATATAACTGATATTTGTCAATAGTGATTCCTTCTTCATGTTATTTTAAAAAATATAAATAGCAACAATCAACGATAATTTTAGTTCAAGATTTTAATTTCGTCAAGAGTCTTTTTGTGTGTTAGTTATTCTGTTATAATATATACATTTAAATGTGAAAATCTCCAAAGAATGGATTTATATCATCCATTACATCATCAATAACATAATTCAAGACGTCCGTATCTATGCCTTCAAATAAAAGTCCGTAACACTGACTGTCGATGCTGTTGAAATGCTCATATCCATATATCTGTTCGTTGCATAGCCAGCAAAATAAAGATTGACAATGTCTACACGTCATTTTATTGCAACCCTCGGTTTTGCTAATGAAAGAATGGCATTTCGGGCAACTTTTCGCATTATCCTAAACAAAGTATAAACGCGCATAATTATTATTAGGAGTAATATTCTATTGTAGTCTTACTACGTCTATTCATTAATTTCCATATAATTGAATCTTTTATACTTTGTTATACATACTTGTAGATATTCAGCCGTAAGATATTTTTCTATTGATTGCATTTGACGTTTGCCATATTTCTTCTCTAACATCTGTTTCTTCTTATTACTACTATTTCTGTACTCGTCAATGAGCTTTATAGTATCGGTCGATGTCATTTCACAGGGTGCTTGTCCATGGTACATCTGTTTGAATAACTAATATAGAATATGTCGATATGTAGCCCTAGTTTACATCGATTGTTTAATACTCGTACCAACTAGTAACTTTCTATTAAATCGTCTTAATTTCAGCGATGCATTTAAAAAATAGTGTACTAAAATGATACAATACGCATCAAGATGATTAATTAAGTACACATATCATATACATATATGTTTACATACATGGCCGAAATTAAATTAATTTAATAGAATAGAAAGTTGCTAGTTAGTACCCATATCAAGTGCACGGTGTAAACTAAGTCATAGATACGTATACATCCGCTTAAATGTTGAGACATATCTTACCTTACGGCAATAGATGCAAAAACAGTATTTGCAGATAGGACAGATCGGTGCGATATCGTCCAGGTTTCTGATAACCGGATATTGACAAGAAATTTGTGGACAATACACTACATCGTCCATGGTGTCTAACGTTACTCGTAACATGATTTCTTCGTATTGGAAAAACAAGTCCGGACAGAGAGTCTTAACGTCGTTATCGCTTATTTGCCGCTTGCAGTCTATCGTCGGACACAATATCTTATTAATATACTCGACAATTCTTGTACGTACGTGCTTCTCCGTGCAATTTTTGCAATAGATATGCCCACAGTTTTCCAATTCTATACAATTTAGTCCTGCATATTCCTCGAAGCATATGTAGCAAGTATAAAAGTTTTTGACGAATTGTGCTTTATGTTGCTTCTCGTTATAAGATATTAATAACCTTTTGATATCTAATAACAATGCACCATTCTGAGCCCTGGGATCGGATAACTGGACTAGGCGTAGTGTGACATTATCTCTTGACGTGTGAATTAAATGTAAGAAGGAAACATCTAAGGATTCCGATATATTTAGAAAATTGAAAAGATCGTTTTGTAGGAAATTTAGCCACAGGAAGATGATCTCGTTGCCCTGGTTTTCTTCCCATATTTCATCTAATTTCTGACAAATTAAAGATATTTCCCAAGGTGACAACCAAATAATAGAAAGGCAAAATTCTGGAGATGTTTTAGATGGATATGTGTTAGGGAGATAAATATACATTTTGATTGGCGGTAGATGTTCTACAGAGATACTATCGTTGGGAACCACATCGGAAGGACAACCACTACTAAACTTTACTTCTAGTTTTCTAAGGAACATTGGATGTATGGTGACTGAGCATCTTGTACCCTGTTTGATTTTCACGTGAAAGAATTCTGTTTCGTCATAAATACTAGAAATTACAGCCACTTCATCCTCTTGTCGTTGAAGATCGATAGTACAAGACATCTTGATAAATGTCGGATTACTAAAATTCGAATTATTATTATAACTAATTATATTATTAATAATGATTAATTTATTTTCAAAAAACATTTATGTATACACAAAAAAGTATAACAAACCTGTTTAAAGACTGATTATAGAAATTGTGGGTATATTTTGTTTCCACTAAATCTACAATATAAAAAGATAGATGTAAAATAATGTGGGCCAAATATATCTATAATTACAAATACAAGTGTAAAATTTATAAATGAGAAATTAACTAAATAAAAAACTATATAATAAAAATTATGTTCTAATAAAAAATATAATACATGTATAAGTATATACATTTACAAATGGCGTAATATCACTAATTTTGCATAACAATAGAGGACTCCTGAAATTATTATTATAAATGAAAATACTAAAATAAAACTATAATAATTTTAACGTTTGGGTTATCCTAAAGTGAGCAGTTGACAAAGTCAAAGTCAAAGTCACAAAATTAAAAATAGACTTTAGTTCTGATCTTTGAGCGTGTACGTCAATCTTTGAGAAGAAAGCTCGATGGATGTATCATGGCGCAAGATGAACATTTTCAACAATTCATCTAATTGTTTCATCAGAAGAACTGAAGCCTGTTTTTGTTTTTCTGTTTTTGACTAGTTTTTTACTAGTTCAAGCTGTATTTCTTTCAAATAAACGGATTATTATTACACGTTTAAATTTTTTTATTTCGGAAACTAAGCCGTTTAGGACACATGTTTATATGGACTTTTTTACTTTAAATAAACTAAAGAATCGCTCTGTTGAGTATGGCAACATACTTAACTAACACCCTGTATATATATACATAAAATGTGTGTGTGTGTGTGTATGTTAATGCCTCTTTTCCTTTAAAATCTCTAATTATAAGAAATCGCATAGGGAAGATTCTTATAGATACGCACGGAGACCACAAGTTGTATCGCAGAATAAATAGGAATAATTAAAACGTCACAACATATAAAAGGAATGAAATGAATAATTCCGTTTGTAACTTCTATTGTACTTTTATTTATTTCTGCGACACAATTTGCGATCTTAATGCATATCCAAGTATTCATCATGTGTTCTCCAAGTTCTTCAGATGGTTTCTCAACTGTCTGTGAGCGATGCATTTACAATGTTCTGATTCAAAATTGAGCCGACACATATAGTATATTCTTCGTTTTATTAAATTATCTCTATATTTAACATTTTATTTCTGCACACTAATTTTCGCGCTTGATTTTTATACGTTTTTTCTATTTTGCAAATCTAATTGTCTAGAGTATTCATTGTTGTTTTTTATAATTAAACGTATACTTAGTTATTAATTAAAAATATATTTTAAAAGCATATTTTTATAAATAAAAGATAATTTGCAGAAAATACACGACAAAAATAAAATAGTACGATCAGTCTTAAATTTCGCAGTTGGCAATTCTTAAATTTAATCGGCCGATAAAATTAACCGGAGTCTACCCTTTAAATTAATCGGAGCAATTTTATAACCAACGTTCCCGAAAGATAAGATAGTGTTGAAAATAGCATTGTCAGCATCACTTGTATCGAACCTCGTGTTCAAAATCAGAACGGAGAAAAAAATACCAAATCATATTTATACAATTCGACTAATTGACCAATACGATTTGGTGAATTTTTTTTTTGTTCGAGATTTTGGAGCGATTTCTAGCCTCGTGAATACAAAGCCTTATAAGGCTTTGTATACGTCTGTGTCACACTGTGCATTTGGAGATTGAAGATTGTGAATTGAAGATTAAAATTCAGCTAATTAGAGTGAAATCGATTAAAATTAAAATGATCTGAGTGGTCGAATTCTAATCCCTAATTTGCAATCTCCAATGCATAGTGTAATACGAACTGCGTTCGACCAATGCGCTATCAACATCGTTCTAAGTGTCTTTATCGTTTTGTCAGACGAAACAAGGGGTGCGTCCTGTTTCACCATGATGCACATTTTATTTTTGTTCACCAAATATTAAAGAATAAAATAATTAATACATCATGCGTATCATGCGTGAAGCGGAATATACTCAAGAACGCAATTAATAGATTCAAATCCGGTCATATCGTATATCTTCAACATGGGGACTTTAATATAAAGAAATATATATGAAATAATTTGGAGGAAATGTAATTTGTTCAAGAACACTATTTAAACAACAACGCATTGACGTAAATATTATTTAAAGAAACATATATAAAGAAGCTATTTTTAAGCAAGAGAGGGAATACAGTTAAACTTTTATAGCGCAATATATAAACATTGAAATGAGAAGAAACAACAAGGCATAACTCATAGTTAGGCCTGTTATTTTTTCTCTTTAAAATTTGACAACAAAAACTGTATGGAAATCGTGGATCAAACGAAAGGTTAAATATGAAGGAAATTTTTAGAAAATCTGTGGAGAATCATTTTAACAACATGTAAAGGTATCTTTTCAAGCTGACGGTTGATGCTTATTATTTTCAGCACCACAAGTCACAAATGATATTTGTCAGTTTTGATTACGTGGTCTATTTTGATGCTAAAAATGAGCGTCGAGCATCAGCATGAAATTAGACCTTAATACAAATACATTTATAATAATAACGTTAATTTAACATTAATTACAATCTTCTTTATATTTAACGTTAATATATTTAACTCAACGTTTGTTACAATTAATTATATATATGTATAGTAATATCGCGCAATCTTTTTATTTTGTAAATCAAACCGATCACGTGCTAAAGAAGATAATGCGCAGTTAACTAAAATGTGTTCCGTTTCACGTATGACGCGCGTGATGTACCTTTAGTGCCTTGTTTGTCAAACATTAAAAAAGAATCAAATGTTGCATCATCCCATGACTTTCTCTTGACTTGAGAGAAAAAATTTGCTATGAACGCTAATCTTATTAGCGTTCATAGCCATGTAACGGTAAATTCCATTTGCAAATACAGGGATCGCAAATTACTTGCAGGTGTAACAAATATGTATTCTTTTTTGTTTGTAATATGTATTCATTACAAAAATTATTTTCAACAAATGCGAAATATTTGTCAAATATGCAAATTTGTTTGCTGTAAATAACAAACAAATTTGACAATTAAATTTTGCAATCCCTTTACGTTCATAACAAAATCATTTTTTTCTGTGTAGCGTGTTCTTTCGGATGCGCACGCATCATGTGTGAAACGGAATGCACTAAGGTAAAACAATAAGCACTGCTTTCCATTTAATGACACAAATCGACACAAGCGTCGTTCTATCCTTCTTGGACATTCAGAGAGTGACAAAGATAGAACGATACTTGTGTCGACTGTGTCTCTTAAAAGGAAAGCAGCTATTCTAAAAGTCCCAGTGACCGGACATAAGTATATCTACGTTCGAACGCATATACACAAAATTTATTATTATTAATCTCGATTAATCTATTATTATTAATGCTTCTTTTATTACAACATTATAATTTAATTATATTTAAAGATTACAATTAAATATTATATTTAAATATTTGATTATATTAGGTATATTTTTAAAAAATTATTTGAAATTAATAATATATAAACAAATAAAGTTTTGCGTAAATTTCCGGACATAAGTACATGTTTGATTACTGGAACGTTTACCTTACTTTTGTATACTCCACTTTTCGAGCATCATGCCGATGGCAATGTTCACTTGTATATTTACACAATACATCATTAGTATCGATTTTTATATAAATTAACTTTAATCTTGATTTAAATTATTCTTCATCTTTTTCTAAATTTTCGAACTAAAAAAAAAATAAAAAGTAAGTTAAACTGAAATTAAAGCTAATCTACGTTGGTAGAAATGAACATAGGTAATTCTAAGAACTGGAAAAAGATAAAGAGTAAATTAAATCAAGATTAAAGTTAATCTACATTAACAGAAGTGGACAGGAACAAATGTTAATTCAAACTCACCGAAGAAAGAAGCGTGATCACTCAGCGAAAATCCAGTACTAGCATTCTGAATTTCCCAGAATTTTCTGAGATACACTGATGATTGTTGATCTGAGACAGTGCGAATGAGATAGCGTGGAAATCGAATCCTTTTTCAGCAAGAATCGTTTGCACAGTAGAAAAACTCGTGCGCATGTGTAGCTGGTTCTACATTAGTCGCGTCGCAAGCGTTGCGGTCCAATCAACGTCGAGCTAACTCGACTCTAATTGGACTGCAACGCTTGCGACACGTTTGCGACGCTGCGATCAATGGCTGCGTTCAGCAGACTTAACAGTTTTGCAACCGTTTTATGATTATCTGCTGAGATAGGACCATTCTTCTAGATCTAAAAGTATGATCCAATTAGCGCGAAGGAAACTTCCAACAGTTGCAAAACAAACGTTCTGCTGAACGCAGCCAATGGCTACGTTACACCGTGCGCTTACAGTGAAATCACACGATGCGGAAAAAAACTACGGAATGGAGAATGCGTTATTGAAGCAACCAATCAGCGCTATTCAGCGCTATTCGGAATAGTGCTGATTGGTTGCTTCAATGACGCATTCTCTATTCCGCAGTCTTTTTCCGCACCGTGTGATTTCACCCTTAGTCCGCGACCTATACGATAGGTGTCTTTGTTTAATATACAGGATAAACAAGGACATCTATTGTATAGGCCGCGGCCTAAATACACGGTGTAAACGTGGCCATTGAAGATTGAGATCGAAGATTGAAGATAGAAATTTGACCAATGAGGGCAAAGGAATTTTAGCTCCTTGACGCTCTGCAACCAATCAGAAAACAGGATTCCGATGAATTTTGCTTCGAATTATCGGAATCCTGTTTTCTGATTGGATGCATAGCGTTGTACGACGAAAATCGGATGCAGTGTGAATCCAGCATTAGAATTCCGGCCTTAATCTCAAGCAAGGTCTTAAGATGATAAAGGTGCCTTTTCATGCCGACGCTCGAAGCTCATTTTCAGCGTCAAAATAGGTCACATGATCAAAATTGACGCTTGATATTCGTCAATTTCTATCGTGACTTATATTGACGCCGAAAATGAGCGTCGAGCGTCAGCATGAAAAGGTACCTTAATACGGTTCTCTGATTGGCTCATGCACCAGTTTATGACCACTTGAATCTTGAGTAACGTCTATGAAATCCGTCCCTAGCCTCATGTGTCGTCATTGGTCATGGCACTGCTTGTGGCGGGAAAATGCACGTTACTGCGCATATCACGCATTTCTGTCGAACGTGATCGAATGATTAAAATTGACGATTTATTTGAAAAAAATTGTATTGTTTTAAATCGCATTTTAGTATAATCCAAAATTCTGCATTTTAACTTTCGATGAACCTCGCAATATTATGTTTGAATCAAAATACGAAGGGCTAAACTTCTCGAAGAAGTAACTGAACGAGTAACGTATGGTAACGCAAGGTTATCCACAAATTTTTACATAATAATGGGAACCTTTCGCAGAATTATCTGCGAGAAATTTGCGCAGGGAATTACGTAAAGAATCTCTTTACTGAATTCTGACTTTTTCAATCGATAGACGCTTGATTTTCGCATCAATAACTTGAGAAAAAACTTAAAACGTTCTATTGGACACAGAAATATTTGTAGTTCTACTTCTTTCTCAGCAATACGCCTTTAATTATTTCACGCGATTGTGCGTAACTTGAACTTTGATAAAACGATAAAAAAAACCACATCTTATCGTTTCTTGTACGATTGCACAAGAGTGGATCTCTATGTTTACTTTGCTGAGAAGAATGATGCATAATACATTTCTGGGCTGTTCCGCCCATAATAATGGGTCCTACGAGGTAGATACATTTGGCAATTGCCTTTTTTCTTGTCACATAATTTTCTATTGTCTTTAATTTATTGCATTTATTAAAAAATTGAGAATTTTTGTTATAATTAAGAGAGAATTTATTTTAGTAGTGAGACGTGCATAAAATCTGGAAGTTTGATTTAGAAAATATTCTACATCTAGTTATATCACTTAATATATATATGTATTATATATATATAGTTATGTTATATAATTTCATTACAATTACTTTTCCAACATTTAATTTAATTTTATTGTTATTTTTTATTTTTTATCTACTGTTTGATTTACGTCATTTTTTTTTAGATTAATATAACTCAAGCTTATTTGTATTCTATATAGTTGTAGAGAAGTATTATGATTATTTAATGACTGTTGTTTAATGACTGTTTTTCTTCAAAGAAAGAACAAGTTAATACATATATATAAATGAAAAGTTTATAAATAGAATAAGTATATATTTGTTATTTTTTTAGGAAGCCATAAAAGTATTAAGCCTTACTTTACAAAGTAACGCTGCTTATTTGCAATCTGTTAAGAATGCAAATGATTCTTCGAAATTGAAGGAAGTAGAAAAATATTTACTCAGGTAATGAAGTTACTGGTACTTTAACATTAATAATTAGAATTAAAATTTAAGTAGATTATTTTGTTTATAATTCAATGAATATTTACTCCGATAATGAAGTTAAATCTTCAATCCCTGTTCTTCTCCATTAAGAACTGCTTAAAAAATATATATAATATTAAATGTAAATTTTGAATTAAATTTTGAGTTTTGATATAATTTCATATCTATTAATTTCAAATCCATTATTACAGATCTGGTATTACTTTAGAGCAACTGGATAGTCTGTCTATCATCCATGTGGCTGGCACTAAGGGTAAAGGTTCGACATGTGCGTTTACAGAGGCGATTCTGCGACAACATGGCTACAGTACAGGCTTTTTCAGCTCGCCGCACTTGGTATCTGTGCGGGAACGCATTCGGTTAAATGGTGAACCTATTAGTCAAGCACATTTCACTCGTTTCTTTTGGAATGTTTATCAACGCTTAGAACAAAAACGAGAATACGAGTATGATATGCCAACGTACTTCAAGTTCCTAACGATTCTCTCATTCCACGTGTTCCTGGAGGCAAATATTGACGTAGCGATCGTTGAAGTTGGAATCGGTGGTGAATTGGATTGTACCAACATCCTGCGGAATCCGGTTTGCGTGGGTATAACGAGCCTCGGTCTAGAACACGTCTCACTGTTGGGCAACACTCTGGAAGAGATCGCTCATCAGAAGTCGGGAATCTTCAAACCGCACACCACAGCTTTCACGGTGCCACAATCAGAATCAGTGATGCGCGTTCTACAGAAACGAGCTGTAGAGAGAAGATGCCATGATTTGCAAATAGTTTCCACGACCGAAGGTTGTAAGTGGAACGATGTTTTTTTGTTGGCAGGCATTGACATTAAAAGCGTGCAGCAACAGAATGCCTTACTGTCGATCAGCATAGCGCATGAGTGGATGAAATCACGTTACGATCAATCTATTATAAACGATAAATACACCAATGGTTATTACAATCTCCAAAGTGAAAAGAATGATTTATCACAAATTATTTCTCCAAATAAAGTTGCGACTGCATTGATGAACTGCAAGTGGCCAGCTCGCATGCAGATCCTAAGGACTAGTGTAGCAGATTTCTTTCTGGATGGTGCTCACACGATCGAGAGTATCGTTAACTGTGTATCATGGTTCAAGAGAGTCAGTCGGGGAACCTCTAGTAAGTTCCTAATATTTAATATCAGCGGTGATAGAAATTCTCTGGAATTATTAAAACTGCTGAAATCTTTGGATTTTGATAGAGTTTATTTTGCCCCAAATTACGCTGGAGTGATTAGCGTGGAGGATTTATCAAATTATATACTACTCGACGAACAGAGAAAGAAATGTAAGAAACATTGCGAATTGTGGGGCGATAATTCTGTGTCGAAGAATACCGTTGCCGAAGTGCTCTACGACATTAAGAAACATGTGTCGTCGCAAGTGAATAGTCACGATAAAGTAGAGGTACTTGTAACGGGATCCTTACATTTGAATGGCGCGGTATTAACTATTTTGGATCCTAATTTGTCAATGACTAGTGATTTTTAATGTAATGTGAAATAATATTGAAATTTGAGATGTTAAGATGTTTACAACCATAACAAAGTAATTTTTGTGAGAAATATAAGATCTGACATAAAATATCAATACGTATATATAAAAAGGTGTATGATATAATGTTGGAATAATAAATAACTTTTTTTTAGAAATCGTAAAATTATATTTAACATAATGTTTAATAGTAACAATAATCAATTACTTATTATGTTAAAACGATACATATTGCATTGTAATGTAATTTCAGAGCGTTTTCGTGATTATACAATTGCAATAATTGTTTTTGTACTTCGATATAGGTCAATCACTTATAGTGCATCGGAGTAGTAAAGTTATATGTTTGAGAAAATTCTGTTGAATTTATCTCGTTGAGCGAATTATACAAATACGATATCGTGGATAATCGTAAACAAGTATTCAAAAAATCTTTGGATGATACTCTAATTCCGACTCTGCCTCGGTGTCGGATAGACTAAGTGAAACGCCAGTTCTTCGTCTCAGACGATTATCCTCAGGACTCTAAAATAAGTTAAAATTATAATTGTATCATCATATGAAGAAATTTAATAAAATATTTACTATTTTGTAATACATAATATGAAATGTAAATATTTTAATCTCTTATTTTATATAATATTTATAATATACATGCTCAATCAGAATTTCAGAGATCTTTCACAGAATTGATATTCATATATATAAGATATTTTAGAAATTGAAATTGATAGCATTACATAATCTTTTCTAACTGAAAATGGGAAAAAAATGAGGTATGTGTCTTCCTAATTGATTTTTAATATTCTTGTAACAAATACAGAGATTTGTATTTAACATGAATAATAAAAAATAATACTTGCCTGATCTAAAATACCGGCAGTGGGTTCAGACGCGTATCCTACTTCCTGCGCATCTTCTTCCAAGTCCGCCTCATATTCCTCTAGTTCGTCCGAATCTGAATCTATATCGAGATCGATGTATCGGCTACCACGCGAAACTTTACACACCATCTGCGCAAGATCGGTGAAAGTGTACGAAGAGGGTGACTGTTGATTAGCCGCTTGGTATTTAGCTCGCATAGCTCTTGCATTCTCTCGATCCGCGTTGAATTGAGGCAGAACTCCGGCTTTTGATTGACCCACGAAATACGTTTTCCCTGAAGAACGTGATTCATTTCAATCTTATAGATGTATTTAAGTGCGTACAAACGTTTCATTTCTTATTAATATGAAATTTACATTATAATATATTCTTTATAACGTCTATTAAAGTTGATTTACAGTTCTTTACAATGGATTTAGATTTAACATAAATAGTGATACAATTCCTTACCGTGCTGGTATCCTACATCCTTGATCTCGTCAAAATTGGCAAATTGGAGGGTCTTGTATTTATCAATCGGCGGTCTAATGTACTCGCAATAATCCGAACTTTTCACCTCCTCTAGCTGGCGAACACAGCTCACGTACGCCAATCTAGACTGGATATCCGGTAAATTTGGCACCTTCACAGGTGTGGCAAATGGATTCCATCGCTTCCACAGTAACCACCAACCAGACAACGAGTCCCCATAATTCGTCAAGTCTGTGTCGTCTTGTGACCCGACGTCAATGGCCAGAATATGATGTGCTCCTTGCCGCAACATTTCGTCGGCTTAAACGAAAATGTGGAGAATGTATGAATCGAGAACGTTAATATCAATTTATTTCTATTTTATAAAAGGTCTAACTTATGAAACGAAATTATGAAATTTTATATATAATATGATATATTTGTTCACGCGCAGAATTGTATCTACATGTATTTTTTTAGATATATAAAATTTTTATATTTTTTTTCCTATAGATTTATGCTATATTTTTCTAAGAAAAGAAATATACTGACTGTACATGATTGAAAGTATCAAGGAGCACATTGAGAGCTTATAATCAGGATTAAACATAAAAATGATAGAAAAGACGAGTACCTGGCACGTTATTAACATAACACCCGTCGACCAAAAGATGCCCATCAAGGGGATCGCAAATTGGAGGAAAGACTCCCGCGATAGTCATACTGCCGCGAATATATCTCCATAGTAAACCTGAGCGGACTTAAACTATTCAGAATTTGATAACTGCATCTTTTATCAACGGGAGTGAGCTTGATGTTTCTCGTGATTTCATATTTTTATTGTATTTCAGTAATACTCATAAATAAATCTTCAACATCGTGCCAAGGTAAATATGAAATAATACAGAATCCAACTAAAATTAGATAATCAATTGATTAAATTTCAAAGAAGAGTTAATATTTTGTCATAAAATAAATATACGATCAATATCATTTTCACGAGATAAATTGCCAAATTATATAATTTATATGCATTTAAAATTATTAACACAGATTTTGTTACATAAAATTAAGATAAAAAGTGTAAATTTCTAGTGGTCTCCTAAATAAATTTCATATTATCTTGACATCAATATTAATGGTGTTTTCCTTTTGTTCTACACTGACCATGCAAAGATTACAGCCGTTCATCAGTGCGATTTGAATTACCTGGAAGGTTATTGACGTACCCGCCGTCGAGCAGGAGATGGCCATCAACAGGGTCACACATGGGTGGCATATAACCAGACAATGACATCGAGGCCCGAATGTACCGCCACAGCGATCCTAAAGAATCATTCTCTTTAATATCCTGCATTTACCGGTATACATTAGCCAAAATACTTTCTGTGTTCTTAAGTACTTCCTGTATTCTTAATACTAACTGTAATTAATTAAATTTTCTTTCTGTATGTGTGAATTTATGTGTATGTAATAAGAAACATCATTAATCAAAATTGATTGAAACTGCAACAATATTGATATAAAAAATTTTTAATAATATTACGGTGAATCTTTAGATTTTTAGATGTCCTCGCGTTCAGTCTATTCATATCAAATATTTAATCCTTTTGTATTTAAGAAAAATTAATGGCATATTGTGCTTTGTATACGAATTTTTAAATAGTAATTTTTGAAGTATAACTGAGAGCAATATTTCTCCCATATTTAGTAGTAAAAGCATATAGGAAGTATATGCACATTAATTTACGATTTTTATATATTCGAGTGAAAATAAAAATAAGTCTTATTCGGGTTTTTCTTTAAAAATTTTTTCTTTAAAAATTACATTAAACGGAGAGTACGTCAACAATAGTTATCCGGAAAGCTCACTCCCGCTCGTTAAAGCTTCTACTATCATGCTAATGTGCACATCTAAAACAAAAACAAGTCTACATGCCATGACAAAGCTATTGGTGTGAATCAAGAAAGAATGATGCCTCGCATGTTTCTATTTTTCATACAGACATCCAAAGTCGATTACCGAGACAAATAATTTTAAATATTATCTATAGAATAAAACACATCTCTTACGTATTTGTTTTTTGATTCACTCTAGACATATTGCTATTATTTTTTAATGACATCAAAGCTTCTAGTTATATTTGGCTGCATTATCCACTTACAGAATCTTTGAAACATCAAAAAAATTTACCACCGATAAATAACAAATTTTATTTATTATACAATTTTATATTTAAAAATCATAAATGAATAAAACACTAATGGACGAATGTACGAAAATTATCAAACTAGAAACTTTGTCAATATTTAGAAAAAAATTGAAGGCACTATATTTGTACAGACCGTGTCTATGCGTGCGCATACAGGAGTCCGTGATGTCTGTGGTTATAGTGAAATATGGGAGCCACAAATCCTCTATATATGTGTCACCGAAAGTCTGCTGTATCGTCTTGTTAAAATCTTTACCAGAGAACATCGAAGTCATCGGATAAGTCAAGTCCATAATTTGCCGCCACCATTGAGTCATTTTCTATCGGTAAATAAATACAATATTTTTGTATACAAACATTTTTCGATTTGATAGTAAGGTTCTCTAAGCAGTTATTAAGATAAAAAAGAAATAAATCTATATATTTCAACATACAGGCATTTGAAAAAAAAAAACAAATTGGTAGATTTATATATTATACTGTAGAAATCTAATAATAAAAGAATCCAGAGTACAACAATGGAAATCGCGAAATCTATTTTGTCTCACCTTAGACCACTCTCTAGCCTTTTGTGTGGTAGTAGTGATGTTCTTTTCCATACACCACAGAGCGCCCATGAAGGCGCCTATGCTGACGCCACCAACCATATCTATGGGTATACCCGCTTCGATGATGGCTTTCAACATGCCCACGTGAGCAGCGCCTCTTGCACCACCTCCACCTAGAACGAGACCGACCGAGGTGCCGGTCAGCCATCGCGCTAATCTACTGAAGTCGCTGTGTACGTTCGGCTCAGACATGAGCACTTTGGAGTATAATTCGTTCTGGAATGTAATATATTTCAGATTAGAACAGTTATTCTTTTCTTTCGTTAATACTCGCAATAAATTAATTTTTTTACTGATAGCGTAAATAAAATAAAACAGATCGTAGGCGATTCAGACTAGATTTCCTAGTCGATGACCATTACTTACAATTCTATACTGCGATCTTCTGGTGAACATCCGTTTTGGACACTGGATGTGATGGTGGCTGGATACCCACGATCTCATGTTCAACCACTGAACAGTGTTCGTGGGTCGTTGACCGTTCTGTTCCTTGTGTAATAGTACTAGTTCCTTCTGCGTTCGCATTACCAGCCGTTCTATTTCACGTTCCGTCCGACCGATCGATGGCGCTCGATCACCCAGACCCACGATAAGAATGCAATCAGCCTGTCTCACGCATCGCTGAGTCCATAGAGTATAACTTGAATCACATTGATATAAAGATATTCTGTGTTGATCTTCCTGCTGTGCAAGCCAAGAAGTTAATCGATATTCGTTTGCAGGCTCCATGATGGTCGTTCCTAAAGTCTACACACAAAAAAGAAACTGACGATTAATAAGTTACTAATTGTTTCCGAAAAATCAATTGATTTAATATTTAATTATTTCTTTTTATTGAGAAACGAGTATACAAATAAAAAATATGTAAATAATATATATTTAAAAAAAATTAAATTATATGCTATACTTAAATACACAACTGGTATTAGATTGTAACAAGATAAATAATATTAACATAATCAAAATGCGAGATTGCAATATATGTAATACCTTTCTTACAACATCCGACGTTAGACGAAGACAAGGTCCAATGGCACATAAAGAATGATATAATTCGTAAGTAAAAGCAGTTAATGGTACATCATCCGACACCGGCACTATGGCAACGGTTGAAAAATTTACTTGTGCGGGTCTAGCATCAACCGTTGCTGCGGCTTGTCTATAAATATTTTTTTTAATTTAAAATTGATTTACACTATTAACATAAACATAAAATATTGAATTATATGTAATAATGATACAATTGTGTGTTTATTATATTACATACAATAATATATTATACTTACTGAGTATCATTGCTGCTGTTTTTTGTGTGTGCTTGCTGCCAAGTGCCGAGTATGCGATGGCCGAGAAGATTTATTAATCTCGTGACAACAATTGGATATCTAAGTTTGATCACATTGAATAAACCTTCTGGTAGCTTCGCCAACTCAGAATCCCGGACCGCCATGACCGTCGTCGACCTCGGAGTTTGCGTGACCATTTCTACGATTCCCACCAAGTCACCCTTTCCATATTCTGCTACCGGTTCTTTTTTGCCGTTTTTGTAAGTGATTACTGATCGCAATCGTCCGCTTAACACAATGAATGTCGAGTCTGATTCATCCCCTTGTCTATAAACGGCTCGTCCACTTTCAAGGAACAACCAGTCGAGAGCAAAATCCACCTATTCAAGAAACAATAATATAAATCATTTAAAATTTTTTCCTTTAATAGGCGTTTCTTTATTAAAGATTCTTACCTGTCTTACAAAAGGACTTAATCTGCGAACAACGGTATGTGCCACGTGCAACACGACTGTGGGTTGATCTCGCATGATAGCGAAGAATGTCGATTTGCTGAGTAACGCGATACGGCTGGCGTGCTTTGCTCTGATTGTATAAAAAGACGGTTCGCCAGTTAACACCGCTAAACCACCAACAATTTCGCCCTGATGAGCACTAAACATGTGCACTTCCTGGCCCGCGTCTCGGCCCTCCGATACGCGTTGGCTTACTATTAGCGAGCCCGAAAGCACATATACAAGTGCAACATCCTGTAACACAATTAAATTTTGATAATATTTTTACAATATATTTATTTAAAAAATCGTTTCCTTTTATATATATGCAATATATAGCTTGTATTTGATAAATGTAAAATGGCAAAAAACCTTATGAGATTCTTCTTTCATCAGATGAGTACCAGCCGGCACTTCCCTGATCTGCACTTTGTCTTTAAGCATATCCTCGTCCTCTATACCAAGTTCACGAACAAATGCGTCTGTGGCTATGTGTACAAGCTGTGCCTCGTCTAGCTGTTGTTGTTGCTGCTGCGTTGCTTCATTAACCTGGCGCTTTTTACTTGAATAAGAATGAGAGGATTCTGGATGTGATCCATATGTCGACTGAGGCATCGCTATAAGAGGTGATGTTGCCCAATGAGAGTCACATTCTGGTACCATCTCTGGTGAATTTTGACTAGTTTGTACGTTAAAGCCCTGATTCTTCCAGTCGACATTGCTCTTTCTGTGAAATGAACCCAAAGAATTAATCTAGTCAGTTATTTTAACGAAATTTGTTTAATCTATTTAATATATTGAATTAAAGAGATATGTACTTCATATTATAAACAGTATAAATTAATATATTAATATTGTTAATTTATAACATTTTGATTAAAAAATTTCTTACCGTCGATTCATAATTATTGGCACAGGTTGAGAAGTGCTTGAATCACGATGAAAAACATCACTGGTATCGTGCATTTCTGTACCGACTGGAAACATACCAGGTACACTCTCCATGTTTTGCGAAGCAAAGTTCTCTCTGGTTCTTGATCGTACCGGTGAACCAGAAAATGGACTCTGCTTCTTCTTATGTGATCCCTGATTGACTAATTCTGCGGAAAGACCGAGATATTGATGTAAAGCCGTAAAGGTAACTCTTTGCAGGCGTACCATAATGACCTGGATAACTCGAACAAAAGCATCAGGATAATCTTGAAATACCTGAAATAATATCATTGTATATAAAATATCTGTATATGAAATATCATATTGTATATAAAATATCTTTCACTATTTCACTTTATATAATATAGTAGAAATATTGAAAGAAGAATAAAATAAACTGTAAGTGCATCACTTACTTCTTGGAACGCGCTCATTGGTAACTTTACTACAACAGAATCTTCTACAGCTCTTGCTGATACAGTTTTGTATGTACTTGTATGACCGGTAAGTACATCTGTAAAGCTAAGAAGACTGGTAACTGATTCGCCCGTTTTTACCACTTTCAATGATATTTGAGAGCCGTCAGGTCCAGTGATATATACATTAACTAAACCCTGCTGTACTATAAATAAGTTCTCATCGGGGTCTCCAATCTTGAATAATGTGTTGCCAGCAGGTAAATTCATAATCTCTGTGTATTTGCATAACTTCAAGAAAACAGGTTTTTCAAAGTGGCCAAAGACTCTAATACTTTGTAACATATATAGGGCATCTGGTGGTACTCTCTCACCAGGACCTAAATCTTCTTCCAAATATTCAGCCGGTGGTTCTAACACCTTGAAATTAAATAATTTGCTTAAATATCAGATGAAATCAATAATTATTAGTTAATTATTACGATACATACTTTGAGTTGTTGTGGAACAGTATCCTTTTTGAGTTGCAATAATCGACGAGCAAATCTCATGACTGCCCTTCTCTTCTTCCCTTGTCCAGTAGCATGCACTTGGCCACCAATGGACTTTACTTTGCGCAACATCTTTCGGCCATAAAAGAGAACCTTGTCTCTCTTCCTGAACCTTGGCTTTCCAGTGCCCACTCCAACAAACTCCTTCACCTCTGGCAAAAATTCTTTGTTCTTCCATTTGCGTACCACAAAGATCGACGCAATTAAGAAAATAAGGAGTATAATCGTGGCAATAACAAAGAGCGTTCTTGACGTTTGATATTCCTCTATGAACCTCCCAATCCATCTTGAAAATATGTATGATCCCAGGCTCTCGTTGAATTTATTAAATAATTCTATCACCTGCGTTTAACACATTCTAACATTAGTATATCTCAAATATATATAATTATTTTTTTAAGTAAGAATGAAGACATTTTTTCCACGTGCTATAATCATTTCTTGAATAAACAGAAAGTGTCATCTAAAATCATTGTCAACTTCTTATCTTACTAGTTACATTTTTCCTAAAAGGAGAATTCTGACTTTTATTAAACTAAATTGTGCAAATTTTAATTTATCTTTAAAAATAAAAAAATTTTGTTCACGAGATAGATCTGAAAGATAACATTTTTGAAGGATGACATTTTTATTAATTTTGTTTATTCATAAAATAATTACTATTCCATTACCGATATATCAGTACTTAAAAATTTATGTAATATATGACTTATGTAATGACGTAATAATATAACTATTCTCTCATACAAAAGAAAAAATTCTAAATCTCAAAGTTTATAAAACTAAAATGACACTTAACTCAGATTATATCTCTGTATATTTGTAAAAATTCGGTTGCGAATGTCAATGACCTCAGAGATTAATTACATATTCAATATACACGACTACACATGCATGCCATCTCGAAAATCGTATCGATTAAGAAAAAGATAGAATGGAGAATAATTCAAGGCAGTAAACATGCACAACCTCCATAGTGGGTACTCATGTCTCCCCCGAAGAGAAAGCCGCTCAAAAACAAGATGTGTCTCGACCAGGATCGCATACGTTGGCGAGCACGAAACTACGCGAAAACGTAAACGAACTAATCGAGTGGAGACAAAAATTAATTATTTATTTCGCGAGTAAACGACCTTTGATACTTCGCTCGAGTCATCCAGCGCCATTTTGTTCGCGCGGCTATGAGATCGATGATTTAAAATAATTTATATACATACCAGATACAACGAATACACCTCGACAACGCGAGTGAACGTCATAAGTTGACGCAAATCGATTGCATAAACGATCGTAACTAACTATAAGCCTACAATTTCAATCTTTTATTCATTAAATTTTCCAACAATTACGAGTCCTTATTCACATATGTATATTATTACTTTATTATAAATTTATTATTTAATTCCACGTTTCTTATTTAAAAAAAAGATGTTTGCTTTTTTTTACTTTAACTGAACTGGTAGGATCGATTTTGCAAGAATTAAGATACGTGAATTCGATATTCGCACGTAATTGTGCTTCAATTAGTCCAAATCAGTCCAAGTTAATTAGCAACTTGCGCGCTTAAAACAATCGGAGGATGTGCAAATACGCAGAAAGCGTGACTTATCGCACGCGGATAACGGTAGTCGCTAATGACGTTTTTGATTAATCGCAATAACGCGTCATTCGTGCCTGCACATATCGCGTCGCCGTTGAATCGAAAATGTTCCGCTTTGCGATTCAAATCTCGCGCCACTGCCGTTCGGCGCATGCGCGTTCACCCGAGCGGCGCGTCGTTCGACGCGTCGCCGCTAGAGTACGCCACATCGGAATTCCGGACGGTTTTCCGCGACGGTCAGTCCCGGCGGCGCCGCGGTAGCGACGGAGGTAAATGGACACTGGACGGACAGGACAGTCAGTGGTTATGAGAACGACATGTTGGACATGTTTCGTGTGGCCGTGCGCGTAGTAGGTGATCTCTGACGCGTGTTCCCCGTGCGTTTCTCGGATCTCCTCTTTTTTTTGTTTCTTCCTCTCTCTTTCTCCCGCGCCCTCGATCGTCGAGCGCGGTGCGCGCGAGTGTGATACGGTGGTCCGCGAGGTGCACGACAGTGAAGCGAAACGAACGACACGCACGTCGTCGCTACATGTGAAGTGTCGCGAAGGATAATTACTCGCCATCGCGCCCGCTGGTTTACCCGGCCCAGCAAACATGAGCTGGGGCACGGAGCTCTGGGTGAGTATCGTATCGCTCCCACCCTTTTTTCTTATTCTTTCTATTCTCCTCTCTCTCTCTCTCTCTCTCTCTCTCTTTTTCTCGTCTCTCTTTCTCTCTCTTTCGCTGTCGCGACCGTCGTGTACGTTCGTCCTTGTCGCTCCTCTCCCGCACCGCGCCGCGGGCGCTCCGTTCGTCTCGCCTGCGATTCGCTTCCACCTTGCGAGATTTTCGAGATCGTTTCGAAAATGAATCTGCCGTTTTCCTCGCGCGCGTGTGATTCTTCTCGACCGACGATCTTCAGCGCCCGCGGCGCGTATTTGACGCGGAATGTCAGCACATCCGTCCCATTCGTCCAGCTGCCATTCCCCGTGTTTACGGCGAGCACATCTTCGTCGCGGCGAGAAACGTAAATTCGCGTAGCGAGCAACGGTCAATCTTCCGGACGGCAGTCGCGCGTGTCCCGTAAACTCCCGTATGCGGACTATAATACTCGGGCATCTGGTCTCAGGTAGTCGACGTTTTCTCCGACGTTAGTCGCATACCTACTTCCCGACACGACCCGAAAGGCCAGACCTGTTCACACCGATGGCCGCCCGTTCTATTCATCCTCTCGCAAAATTCCCTCCTGGCGCTCGTCCGTGCGTAAACAATGCCGTTGTTTGCTCGCATGCGTGTTTTTTCCTCTTTCTGCTCCTTTTCAGCCAAGGCTCGATTCTTCATTTTCTGCTTAACTTAGGCTTAATATGACGATAATGTAAAAATTGTATTTTTCTAGCTATTAGTTGCGTTCAGCAGAAAAAACAATTGCAACTATCGTAAGATTTTTTGGAATGATTGGTTTATACGTTTAAATCTAGTGAGGAACTAAGGGATCAATCGTACAAAAGAATCTTACAACAGTTGCAAAACTGCCTTTTCTGTTGAACGCAGCCATGGTTAATTACTAAACTGACGTCACTCTTTTAAACTGATAATTTTATAGTAACTTTTAAAGTCACACATTACAAAATCATTAGCCCAGTGATTAATCGTAGTTAGAAAAACAATTTTTATATTATTAAGTTAAGTCTATGCACAAATTAATTAAAAAGTGAAAAATTCGGGTTCGAGATGTATACATCGTACAATTTTCTGATTTGTCTTTTTCTCCACGAACGAATGGTGCGAATCGGAACATTGAATTCGGACGACGTGCGTTTCGATAATTTCATAGTGAAGTTTCTTTTTTTCTTAAAGAAAATTACACGTCAACGTTCGTGACAGATTTCCACGTCGACGCGTGTCTTATCGACCCGAGATGTGCCCGCTATATAATATGCTTAAAAACTAGATTCTTATTTACTTTCGATAATCTAGGAGGTGTCTCATTTTATCTATGAACTGAATAGCGTATACATATTTGTGATTTAGAACGCTAAGATATTCCCTAGTCGATAAGATATTCACGGAAAAAACAATTTTGTTGGAGTACCTGCAAACACAGACTTGAAAATGATTTTGTTGAACTATTAAGATAATTATGTAGGACGTTCAAGCATGATAAGCAATATTACAAAAATTTTGACATTTTTAACAACCATTTTAAGCATCCTACAAAGCAGCTTTACAACTTTTGTAAAAATTTCTGTAGAAAATGAACGAATTAATCAGATAGAAAATTTTGATTTATCCATTTTTAACCAGAATTCTAATTAATGTAACCGGATTTTTTTTTAATATAAAATTCTTAATTATATCCTGATAGCAAGGCCTGTGGAGACAGATTTTGAGCAGAGCCTACATGTTATGCCAACACATTGGTGACAAAAACCGAACAGAGTCTGCTGACATAACTTGACGGCAGATTGGCAGCAAAAACCGAGCAAGATCTGTCATTTTTATATACGGCATCGCCACGAGATGGATTTGCTTCTCGTAAGAAGAAATCGCCCAGGAGTCCTATAAGAATTGGCGTATGTAAATCGAATAGGCAAATCTAGAGATTCCAAAGTTCTTTCGAAGTATTTTCTGAATCTCCAAATATTTTTTTTATTATTTTATAACTTTTTCATGTGTATTTTTGAAATGTGAAGCTAATCAATATTTTAGCAACAAAACTATATTGATTGTTTCCAGTTTTCACATCAGTATATATATATAAATATATAATTATGTATAATTATATATAATTATATATTACTGTTTATATATATGTACGTAAAATTTCTTATGAGAAACCAGGTCGATTTAAATGAAAATGACAGATCTTGCTTGGGTTTTGCTGCCAATCTATCATCAGGTTATGTCAGTAGGTTCTGTTCGGTTTTTGCTCGCAATTTGCTGTCAGATTATGTCAGCAAACTGCTCGGTTTTTGTCAGCAATCTGCTGACAAAACATGTCAACAGACTTTGTTGACAAATCCATAGCCAAATGCGAACACAGATGGCTATGGTTTTGTAATCAAAATTTGATCGAGTTTGCTGCCAATTTGCGCGCAAATTGCTAACATTTTTCTATCAGGTTAACGATATATATTTAGATCCAATGAAGAGTAAAGGATAAATCAATCATAATGAAAAATTTTACAGCAATTGCAGAGCTATTTTTTCTGCTGAATGCAGCCAATTTTAAAATATTTTGATGATCCAACAAAATAATTTTTAAATCTCTATCTACCAAAACTTTTAAATGCTTCAAAAAAACTGTGAAGTTTCTCTTTAGAAAAAGGAAAAAAAAACTGTTTTTTAATTTGACAGAAAATTATTGAATAATAATATCAGCAAATAGAATATATTCTTAACATGTCAAATGTCATTTTTTCTTTCATACGGGACTTTCAATATTTTCTCGCATTGTCGGGGATGCGTCACTCTTATCTCATCTACAGAATAAATGCAACTCTTTAAACATTCAGTGGAGAAACGTGATTCATCTGTAGCTCATCCTTGAAGTTGCATATGGTGCACGCGTGCGTTTCTCCGTACGCCAAATTAAACTTATCGGATCTCCAGACTTTTTCTCTTATCCCTCATCAATCGGAATGACTTCCTATTAGTTTGCCATTAGACGTAAAATCGAGAATCAGTCTAACAGCTTCGGCCGTCGCAGATCCGCGGTTCTACGCCGCGGTATTATATCATCTGTTATTTGTATTTGTTAAACGGCACCTTATCGTTATCTTCGATATGTTCACGTGAACGTCGCGCGATTATCTCGAGATTATTTGGAATCACGGAAATCTCTTACACGTTTCACTTGACTAACAGATTCATTAAGCGTGTCCTCATCATGTCTAATGAAGTTAAATGGAATGGATATTAACATTTTCTGTTATTAGGCGGAATCTTGTATCTGACAATAATTTTTGTAAATTTTATCATCCTGCCTTTTTTGCTCCTGAATTATCCGATTATTTATTCAGTTTTGAAATTCAATTTATGTTGGAAATATGATTAAATTGATGATCAGTTTATAATCATTTGCTGCAAGTGCTGCAACAATAACATAACTAAAAAATTATCATTTTTGTTTACAGAAATAGACTATAAGTTCGGAGACACACGTGTACAGAAAAAAGAAAAAACATACTTTTATTGTTCTGCAATCAACAACTTATTACACCAAAATTGCATTTTAAAGTTAATATTACAATATTTCAATGATTCAAAACATTCAAACTCATTTTTTAAAAAACTTGAGTTGTGTCGTTTTGTAGCAAATGAATATTACTCCCTTACTTTAAAAGTAATGAATAACACAATTGAAATTCAAACAATTAAATTTTTCAGAAAAGGAAAAAAAACTATTTTTCAACTTAACAGAAAATTATTGACTAATCAAATAATATCGACAAAAAGAATATATATTCTTAACATAATTAAATGTCTCTTTTATTAATGTCGTTTTACAACCCTTAAAAAAACCACCTTTTTTAATTGTGATAATTTCGACTATTATTATTTTAAATGTTATTATTATTTAACAATTTTTTTATGAAGCTAAGTTAGACTTTATAAGTTTTGATGATTGATAGAGTAATATTTACTTAACTCATTCATGATAATTCGAAGATTATATTTTTTTAAATAAAGGGGCGATATATAATACATATTGATTATCAATATATAATAATTTAATAATGTGACATTATATTTAATATATTTATTATATATACATATATACATTTAAATTGATAGTACTACCGATGAACTAATACTTATTGAAGTGTACTAGTTTTCACCCTCTAGTATCACTTGCCTGTCGATTTATCTGGCTCCCTATCCGTAGAGATCTTCATTTCGCCTTGAGCGAGAGCTCGTAACTTCATGACTTCACAATATAAATTTTTTTCGATTAATCCTTAGCCCTTTATCGTGCTTACCACCTTCCTGCACAGAACTGCTTATTAGATGCATCAGCTACGTATCTGTCCATTTATCGAGCCTTCCAATTCGCCTTAGGCGAGCTCATTCTTATAACATTGGATATTTTTATGATTCTACAATTAAATATCTCTTTTTTTTAAAGATAATTAATATTTTTTTTATCGAGTACCTTCTTCGATTAACAGTTAACATTTTCTCAAATTCTTCTACTTTTTTCTTTCAGTTGCTCTTGTCGAGCTGTTCATTTTATCTTACCTCGGCAGATAGATATTTTATCCTACGAAACCTAAGCTAAAAAGGAGCTTGTTAAGATTAAAGCACATACAAGGAAAAATTTTTTTCTTTACGCACATTTTTATATTCTCATTGTTTAGGGTTTCACACAAACTTTCTATATTTTTTATAATAATAATAATATGTACTCCAGTGGTCTATGTTTGTGACACATGAAAGATCCCTTGGTATCCTGCTGAGGACTAAAGAAACTCGTCTCTTTATTGTGGATTTCGTTCGTGAGCGTACAATTGAAATTTTTGTCTCAAAATGCCGTTCTTCTTCACGTCACTTTTACAGAGGATACATTTGTGGGAAAAATATTTCTTTTCTCCTCCCGCGCCGAATTACCTGCCACATCGTCGTCGTCGTCAACGTCG